GGGGCCGGGGCCGCCCTCGCCCGGGCGGCTGCTGATGCAGTTCAACCATCGGCTGACGCAGCAGCAGGCGCGTGAGAAGGCTCAGCAGATGTACGCGGTCACCAAGGGCGTCCGGAGGTGGGTGCTGCCCAGGGTGGCAGAGGGTGAGTGGGAACGGGGATGGTGGCAGTGTCCCCCGGGACATGGATGTGTGTCACTCTTTGCCCCTCAGGTTTCGACTCTCTGAGGATGGGGAGTGGCTGGTGAGGGAGCTGGACCTGGCTGTGGACAGGGCCGAGGATGGATCGGTGTCAGCCCAGGATGTCCAGCGGCTCCAGAGAGAAGCCATGAAAAGGTGAGATGCTCCAACGCTGCGCAGCTCTGGTGACATCGGGGTGCGAGGCAGAACGAGCTGCAGCCCCACAAGTAGCAGGCAGAGAAGTGGGGCCGGGGTGGATGGGCCCGATCCTCCCCCCCTGCTGTCCCAGAGCTGGGTCAGTTTGATCTGGGAGCTCCCAGTCTCTCCCAGTGAGCAATTAGCCATAGGAGGTGCAGGGGCTTGTCCAGCTGCCCCAAACCAGGAGGGAGGGTTTGAGACTCACACGGGGCCCGCAGCCCTGTCCCACGCGTGCAGCAAACCTCCCCTCTGCCCCACCAGGTCCCGCAGGAAGAAGAAGTGGGATGTGGTGGAGCACCGAGTGTGGGCTGGAGGCACAGAGTCTGAGATGTTCAACAAGCTGGAGAGCATCGCCTTATCCCCCTCCCCGCAGACCCCGGTGCTGGGCTGTCATATCAGCAGGGCACTGGAGCCCGCTGTGGCCAAGGGGGAGGTAAGGACAGGGCTCTGTGCTGCTGAGCGCTCAGCTTTGCTTGTCTTCTCCAAAATGGCAACCCTAAGTTCAGCCCTTAGATGGCAGAGACCCAGAAGGCTCTTGGAGCCATGAATAGACCCATTCCCTCTGGTCTTTATTTGCATGCCATCAAGATAAACCAGCAACCCTGAATTTAATAAATAGGCTTCTCCCAGGACCTCTTCTGAATCGGTGCCAGGCCCTGGACCCCGATAGTCCTCTAGCATCTGTCTGTGTTTCCTTCCACCAGTTTCTGACCAGCAGAGTGAACTGGGTGGTGCAGAGCTCAGCTGTTGACTACCTGCACCTCATGCTGGTTGCCATGAAGTGGCTTTTCGAGGAGTTCGACATCAATGGGCGCTTCTGCATCAGCATCCACGACGAGGTGCGCTACCTGGTCCAGCAGCAGGATCGCTACCGGGCGGCCCTGGCCCTGCAGATCACCAACCTCCTCACGCGGTGAGATGTGACCACGCTGTGGTGTCTCCTGGGGTGGGACGGGGCAAGCCCAGTGATGGGTGACAGCAGAGGGGTTAGCTTTGCCGGCAGCGGGCTGGCGCAGAGCAGTTTTCTTCTGCTCAAGGGAAGTTGGCAGCACTGGGGGTTGCGGTTCCTTTGCACGTGACTCGGATGGCTGTAAATAGAGCTCGGCTTTGGTTTCCAGGGGTAACGTGCTGGCAAGAGGGGGATATTGTCAGCTTTTGGCTCCTGCAGAGACAGGGCCAATCATTCCGCTCTGCTGGGATGGAGCACATCACCTCGTGCTCCAGTCAGGTCTGCAGCCATCGTGTGGCAGCAGCTCTTGGGCCTGGATGAGCAGTGGGGAGCCTGAAACTGTCCCCATCCCTCATCTCCCCTCTGCTTGCAGTTGTCCCTTCTGCAGCATGACCTGCCCCATACAAAGTTAAGCTCAGCCTAGAAAGCTCTTGCCCTCAAAAGGCTCCCTTCGATACGGCTCTGGCACAGCCAGCTTTGCCAAATCCCCTTCCCAGCGCTGTGGGGTATTTGGTTATACGGGAGCTGGCCAAAGCTGAGCTGTTTTCTCCTGCGCCGCGGTGGGGGTACAGCAACCAGCCTTCCTGTGCCGGTGCGGCAGGTGCAGCGGGGGCAGGCGCGCTGACGTTGTGCCGCTCCTGCAAGCACAGGACTTCCTGCTGGGAAAATCCAGCGTCTGCTCTGCTGGGGAGGATTAGCCAGCAGTGAAGGACTGGGTTCCTCCTTTCTTCCGAGGAGGCTCAATGTACTGTTACGCTGTTCCTCCCACAGCCACTTTAGCAATACTTGACCCTCCTGCTACCTGGTACTTTGAAAACACACCCTTGTCTTCCAGCCGCTGAGTGGCATGGGTGCAGAGTAACCTGTTGGTGATGGCTGGCCAGCGTTTTGTGAACCTGTGGGTGGTCAAAGCTGGGTGTGACAAGGCTAAGGGTGATGTTTGTTCTTCCAGCTGCATGTTTGCCTACAAACTGGGCCTCCAGGATCTGCCCCAGTCAGTGGCTTTCTTCAGCGCAGTGGATGTTGACCAGTGCTTAAGGAAAGAGGTGACTATGAACTGCGCCACGCCATCCAATCCAACTGGGATGGAGAAGAAATACGGCATCCCTCAAGGTGAGCAGCATCTGCGCGAGGTAGCCCCCCTGGGGTCCCCTCTGCAGAAGCCTCCCCTGCGCAGGCAGCGCACTTGGCCTAAGCAGGTGTTCCCTGAGGGCTCCTCCATTTGGCTGTCACCCTGGTGCCAGCCCCTCTCTACCCCTCTTTGCTTTCACAATCCCTGAGCAGTTTGTGCTGCTGCTTCCAAATATTTCTGATAGTGATGAGCCAGGCCTGGCTCTGTCATCCCATACCCATGTTTGCCTTGTGCCCCTCAGATAAATAGAGGAGCCCCCCCATGCACTTTTAACACAGCCCAAGCTTGAACTGTTCCCTCTGAAAGGAAGCGCCTCACCAACCTTGTCCATTTTGCCCTCCAGACCCAAACTTTTCCACCCTTTGGTGCTTTCTCTCCTTCCCCCCTCCCCTCCTGGGCTCTGTTCAGAGAGCTGCCCTGGCAGTGCTGTGGTCTTCCCCAGCACTCCCAAGGCCTACAGTCGTCCCTGTCTGCACTTGCTATAACCCTCTGCTGCAAACAAACATTTAACTCTTGATTGGGAGTTGCTTTAAACAGCTCCTCTGTGTGCAGCAGCCTCTTCCCAGCTAAGGAGAACCTAGCCTCAGCTTTTTTCTCTCAGTCATTGGACACAGCAGACACTCCACTGTAAGGTAACCTTTATTAGGAGTCTTACAGGCAAAGGGTGCTTTTAGAAACAGGATTTGTGTTTTTGTGTTCTGTGGGCAAAAAGGGCACTTCTCTTTTCACCAAGAACAAGGCGAATTAAACAAGTGCATTGCATCAGCAAAAACAATGGCAAAACCAGCCTCACCCAAGGAAGCTGTCAGCTCTGCTTCAAGAGCTGCACGCAGCAGCAAGCTTCAACTCCATGGCAGGACAGCCTGTGTTTCCAGCTTCCTACTGGTGCTGGCTCCTGCATTCACACCACCACACAAAACAGAAGTTTGAATACATTTAGGGCTTTGTGCTACATGCTCTGAACTAAAGCAAATCATGACCATCACTCTCTCATGTTACACAGTCTGAGGGGTACTGCAGAGTGCAGGGAAATGATTGTCCCATTGTCTTCCAGGAGAAGCACTGGATATCTATCAGCTAATTGAAATAACCAAAGGTTCACTGGAGAAGAAATTATGACACTCAAGTGCCAGAACAACAACTGTCCAGAGAGCGTGCCAGCACCTGGCTGTCCTTTCAGGAGGAGGAGATCATTTAGCAGGGACTGATCCCAGTCACTCTGTTTCCTTTGCATTGTAAGAAGGGATGTTCCTGGGTTAGAAGACTTTGAAAACAGCACATTCAGATAGCAGAGGCGCTTCTTGAGGGCCACACCCAGCTGTAAAACCTGAGATGGTAGCCTGAGTCACTGCTTGCACGCCCGTGAAGGAAGAAGTCATAAGTTATTTGGCAAGAGAAACAACAAACCATCATTTCCATACACACAGTTCTCCCAAGACCAAGGTGACTCTGCCATGGAGCTGAAAGTGGCAACGCCAGCTTTATTTTTTTCGCCGTCTCTTCTTTTTGGGTTCCTGGTTCTCATCTGTTTGCTCTGCTGTGCTACTCTAGAGAGGGGAGGGAGAGTAGTAGGGAAGAGTGTGATTGTTTTTGTGTGACTAGTCTAAGGAATGTTTACCTAAAGCAAGAAACCAGCTGTGCAGAACAGGATGTAGCGCTCTTTTTCTCCCTAACAAAATGACCTGAATATGGGACTCCTCTCACCCACTGAGACTTTTCCTGTAGACACCCCTCCAGTTCATGCTGGAACTTAGACCACAGGTTATCAGTGGCACAGGACAGGGACTGTTTGTGCTGGGTTTTGGCTTGCTGAAATACTGAGGAAAATATGGACAGAAGCACCAATAAAAACCTGGACAATCAAAGTAAATGGTCTATTTCTTTTTTTGTCCAGCACAGGTTGCACTGCCTTCACCAACACTATCTAGTCAAGGAGATGAGGCTGAGGAGAATGGTGTCTTGCAGAGTTTGCCCTGTCAGTTGTTTATTTACAGAAGTTAACCTGGATGCAAAACCATGTTGCATCATTCTGCAAAGGTCTGATCCTGGCCAGCCTGTAGGTCCTCAGAGGTAACACCAACAGACCTCTCTGCTTGCTGAGACAAACAACAAGGCCTTAAGAGCAGTCTCACTTCCCTAAGACCAGGGATACAGTCGACCGGTGCATGGAAATAAAGGTGTCTCAAGGCGGAGGGCTGGAGCATAGGGAACAGTGGCCAGACTAACTGTTCACTCCTTTGTATCAGCTTAGTATTAAAGTGAGAGCTAACCCAAGGAAGACAGACTGTCCTGATTTTACATACACCTGCACAGCTCACAAATACAGTTGGCCTGAAAAGAGGGGGGAACCTATCAGTAAAAGCTGCTAAATGAGATCTGACCTGGTCGTTGTCTGGCTCGTTTTCAGCATCCTCTGTGTTATGCTCCTGCAACGCACTGTCTAGCATGGATGCATTGATGCGGAAATCCCGGGAGGTGCTTAGCTTCATATATTGCATCAAGTTCACCTGCAGCAACCAAGGTGAAATGAGGGGGAGAGGTCATTATGCTGTTAGCATCTTAGTTTTAGTTTTCTACCTTGCCTAATCCTTTGCACGGCAGTGGGGCCAAGTCCATCACAGTAATGATGCAGGACTGAAGCAAAAGGTAGGTGAAAAAGCACCTGCCCCCATGCAATCCAGTGGCCCATTTATGTTTTCCTAAAAGCCCAGTGATTACCAGTTACTCTCACTCTTGTGTAGTAAGTACCTCATTGTCGTACACTTCTCTCCTGCTTATGAAACAGACAGGGGGAGTGGGGTGAGGAAAGCTGGCATGAGATGTGTAAGCTTCCGCTCAGCCAAACCCCATGCAGTGCCAGGTCACAGGCAGTACTGCTGTTGACAGCTGCTGGTATCAGTGTGACAGCAACACAGTAGTATTGGGCAAAGGCTGAAAGAGGGGTAAGGTCCTTACAATCTCCTAATTTCAGCAGCAGTGGAGATTGCTGTTCCACCTTTTACAATAGCCCTCCACCATGCCCCTGTTCCACTGAATTCAGGTCACAGAAGAGGTCTGCTTTGCATTACCTTTGATTTCTTGGAGAGGTGGATAAGGAACTTCTCATATTGCTCTATTGCAAAAATCAGATTTGGGATTGGCTTGGTTTCCCGAAGCACCTTAGCCTGAAATGCAGAAAGGAGGGGGAAAGGTCAGATTTGGAAGTAAACAGCCTGAAGATTCCCTTGTACTGTCAGCATTGACAAGCATCCCAGCTATGGCACTAATGTAGCACCCATAGTGGCAGCTTAGTTCCCCCAAAAGACAACGATGCTCTAGCATGACATGAAGACCACAACCACTCCAGTTTAGAAAAGTCTCTTCAGTAACCTTGATCCTTACCAGACCTGCCCCACCAAGCCTTGCCAGTTTTGTTACTGGTTTTAAATTGACTCCCACAATTGTTCTGCAGTGAAGCTCTCCCAGATATTGTTTTGTACTCTGCCTGCAGTCCACAGCCCTGATAAGCCTGACAGCCATCACAGCAAAACTTTTTCTGGTCCCGCTCTGCAAAGGCATCACCAGCATATGCCTTCCAGCATTTGAAGCACATTGCTGTTACACCATATTTTTTCCCTGTTTATTTAACACTACTGATGTTTGTTCCACATGCTGATAGAGTGGCAAAAGGACCAGCATCTCAGCCCATTTCCACACACACACAGGGAACAGCTAGGAAGATCATGCTTGTGGCTTTTAAACCCTTCACATCGTACGAATGTCTGGGACAACTGACGAGACAGAGGGAATGCTGGCTGGGAGCACAAACAAAGGACGTAAAAGGCCAGGAACCTGGCAGCCTGCGCGCTTGCTCCCAGCCAAATCAGCCATTCTCAACTGCATTACTTTAGTGGAATCCACTACTTTATCTTTAAATGTACTGACAAAAATAAGAAACACTGAAACAGTGTACAGTGTTGGTTCCAATAAATGAGCCCATTTCTATAATTTCATAGTTTATGCCAAATGATAAAATATCAGACAAGACAGGCTATCCAGACTTTAACCTTGTTTCATGCCTGTGGGCCTTTAGACTGTGTTTAGTGAAGGGTTTGGTATTGGGTTTTTTGTTGTTTGGGTTTTTTTAAGCTTTTCTCTAAAGTTAAAGTAGAAGAAATTAGATTTTTACTTAAAGGCCCAGATAATAATTTGTCATTGGTGAAGCCAACAGGTAACACAAACATTGAGGTACGATCCCAAGTTCAAACACAGCCCATGTTCTCATAGAGAGTGAGTCAATCTTACCATGACTGTGGCAATTGCAGCAGCTTCATCCTCTCTCTTCTTTTTTTTCTTCTCTTCTGCAAAGCTTAAACTCTCACTGTGGATGTTCTGAAGGAGGATGCCAAAAGATGTGGCATTAGAGGGTAAGCAGGGAAGAAAGGCCAGCCGAGCAAGGCCAGAGAAGTCTGCTCTGGCCAGCTAACAGCATTGCCAGCTGGAGGACAGAAAAATAGTGATACAAGAAGAAGGATGGAATTGGGGGTAATGTCCAAAAAAAGAACGAAGGTTGATAATTGATACATATAATTATACACACAAAAATACGAATGTGTGAGAAGTCCCCAGGAGAGGACTCTGCACATCACTACACCTTCCCCAATATGCCATGTCTGTCCTGTAATTCCTCACTCAAGCACCCAGTTGCTCTCCAAACAGCTAAATCCCATCTTCAGTACTGCAGTGTTTGGCACCCACATTACTGTACACTGTGATTACTGCAGTGTTGTTGACCTTTATTTGCCATTGTGGTTAACAGCAGTATTAATCTCATCCCCCCAGAAATGACGTGAACAGAGAAGGGGAAAATAAAAGCTAAAAACCAGCTCCCCAAACAGTCTTCCATCCCTGCTCAAGGAGAAATCAACATGCTTGGTCCCAATGGTGCTGGAATGTCTTCTACTATTATTTGATATAGTAAAGCTTGAAATATAAGAAACTCAAATCATGTCAGGAAGATTAATAAACCCCAAAGACGCCCATGTATTGCAGCTGATACACCACTCAGCATCTGAGAGACTAACTGTACAGGCCTTACCTGTACATAAGTAATGAATGAGTAACACTGTGGGGTCAAATGGGAACCTGAGAGCTTCACCTGCAAAGCAGCAGAGAGGTTGGTGTTACTCCTAACTCAAGGCAATGAGCCATTTCATCCAGCAGTTCGTTCACACTCACCAGCTTTTCTAGCCTTCCTGGAATCGTATTCGAGGTGCTGCGACAAGCTTGGATATACTGCAAGGAAAACATAAGAAAGTTTCTTCTAGGTATGCTGTTTCCAGGCAGGGCTCAAAGCAGCTCGTCCAACGGCACAGTGGGGAGAGCAGGATTCGCAAGAACCATCCTCCCCAGTGGCTTGCTATATCCCAAGTGCCGTGTCTGCATTCCAGAGCTGTGAGAGTGGTAAGGGGGGAATTCACCACCTTGTCTCAGACTAGCTCCACTGGTCTGTTTTCATGGCCCAGTTCCCCCAGGTCTGATGCTTCAAGCCTTAGATGGGAATGAGTGGCAAGGGCAAGATTGCTGAGCACTGTGAGAACACCGCTAGTGCCATTCATTGTGGCACACAGCTGCATGCAGAGGAACCTACAAGATACATTGGAAAGAGCCACTCCAAGCCATGTGCAGCCAAATTTAGCTGGAGAGAAGCTTTCCTTTATCTCCACTGGTACAGCTATCACTGCTGCAGAAAGGTCATGAAATTGAGGGCCTGAAAGCCAACAGAGTAAGGACTCAAGAGATCAACAGCCCAGTCCTGAGCATAGCTGCTGCCAGGGGTCACTATGAGCTCGCTGTAGCAGATGGAGAAAGAGTTTTTAGATCGCAGCCAGCCCACTGTCAGCAGAGCAGCACTCACATGTTTGATGAGGGAGGTGAGAATTGTATACGTCTTGCTGAGACTTCTCAGCAGCGTGTCCACACAGCTCCCTGCAGGGAGTGCTGTCTGTACCAGCTCATGATAAACTGTCAGCAGAGTTCCCAGTTGGAGAATTACACCTTTCTCCAGAGCCTGGGTTTGGTTTGATGCCTGAGAAGAGTCTTCTAGAAGAAAGAGAAGAATACCTGGTGAATGCGTGTTT